GGAAGTTAAAGGTAAGTGAACACAAGCTTGAGCAACATGCTAGAAGTTAAGCAAATCAAAATGAAAGGTAATCAAAGCTAGCTAAGAGATCATCTTCAAAATGATGACAAAGGAACAAATAGGCAGGACTGAGACCCAGATCTAAGGGTGGTAAGTCCCAAGCCAGGCACACAGTATCCCCTGAGCCACACTAAAGAGCCTCACATTCAATTATTCTCTTGATGTCAGGGGTCCCTGAAGGAGGGCCGCGGCCTCAGGCACACTCCCCACATGATCAGGCTGCATCTGTGTGGTTAGGCCAGAAGGCTGCAAGAGTCTGATTAACTCAAGCTGTCCCGGATCATCCTGCCATACCCAGGATCCAGCCAGAGAGCCACTACTGACCTCCACTCATTGCCCATGAGCAGGGTCCTTCTCCATCTAGCAAACATGTGCCCCTTACTAAGAAGGGCGGCACCCTGGGGACCCCAGCTAGCTCCTTGATACTCAGGGACTACTTAAGACCTACGCATCCAAGGAAGTTTTCTAATATGACTTCTAGAGTATCTGCTTTTAAAATCTGCACAGACTGAAGCAGGGTGAAGCCCTGAGTCTCAGAGGTGGGACACTGAGCTCTGTTGTCAGTGTCCCACTGACAAGAAGGGAGGGCTCTGTTGAACACCTGTGAGGATTTCCGAAAAGGGCCCTGGGTTTGAATCCTGACTTGGCCATTTACTAGCTATCTGCCCTTGAGGCAATTATGTCTCCATGAGCTTCAGTTTCCAACTTATTAAGTATTATTAGTGTATCATTACTATGTGATTGTGTGCACAGTAATTAGGTCAGGGAATACATTTGGCACGGGTAATGCAGCAGTGCTTTTGTTTAAAAGTCAGAATCATCAGAGATTTAAGGAAGCAGTTGGAGGGTGGCATAGCTACCCAGCAGGTCAGAATTCACCTTTCCATGAAAGTGATTCCATTAAGTGACTCCATGGGGCATCCTGATGAGGACACTCATTAGCCAGGAAGGTGTCAAACTCTGCTTTCAGAGGAAGGGCAACTTATATCCATTTTCCTCAAGTAAGGGTCTTAACCACTAAGGCTTACATAAGCTTAGAGCCATTTATCTCGCCCTTGAAAGAAGTGGTGACATGATAGGAGGGATTTCTTTCAGAACCACCTGACATGGCTGTTAGCCACAGAGTGACCGTGCAACTGTGGTATCTTCTTCCCCTGAAGACCTCTCAACACAAGAGGGCAAAGCCTAGGCTGGGTGGGCACACTCCTACCTGGAACAGAGACAAGGCTACAGTTACTGCAGAAGGGCCTTCATGGTGCCCATCTCCCTCTAACTTCAAGTCAGGGCAGAAGTTCAGGGGCTGGTCTCAGGAAAGAGCCTCTTTTATTTAGCTGAGTATTTAAAAATATAACACATTTTAAGCAGAAATCGAGACATAGTCTGTGATTTGCTCGCACAGTGGGGGGCAGAGGAGGGATGAGAGTAAGTCTCTAAAAAAGAAAGGCACAGCACCCAGGTTCTAATTCTTTACTTTAATGCCACGTGAGGGTACTGAGGCTCCATGCACCAAAGCGCTCACAGACAGGGAGTGAACGAACATAGGAAATGTTATACCATGTACACGAACCCAACACCCAACACCGTACAGAAGGAAGACAATGGACCCAGGTGACCTCCCATACTCCAGAGGCAACCTGTTCCTATACCCAGTCTTTGTTCCCTCCTCCTCAACCCCTGCCCACCCACCCTTCTCCCAATTAACATATGTATACATGTATGATTCTTCCAGAATACCAAAAAGTGCCTCTCCCACCCCAGTCTCTCACACTCTGGCTTCTGATGAATAGAGCCTCCCTCTTTTAAGGATCACAAGGCAGCCACTACCTTCATGAAAGAGTCGCAGCAAAATGGTGCCCAAGAAAGCTTAATCACTTAGAATCAAATATGGACAGAAGGTATGCAGAAGGATATTTGAAATTCTAACTGGGATCAGTGTGAGTAGTTTTTGGTTTTTTGTTGTTGTTGTCATTTGTCTTAACCTCTTCAAAATCCAGCTGAGGCCAAGACTGCACAGTGAGGCTCACCCCACTTTGTGGTTTGGAAATGTCATTCTTCCTAGTCTTCCAACAAGCAACCCAGAACAGGAAGATAAGGTCACCTGACCAGCCTGAGGCACAAGGTTCAGACAGCTCCCAGAATATCCTCAGCCCCAGGAAGAAAGAATAGAAACTTTCAGAGCACAGTTGACTCCTTGCCACGTGATAAGCACTGGACAGCCTTGTGAATTAACCGAAGGTAGAATAAGGGTGGTGACGAGTCCTGTATTTCTTCTATTTAGAGTGCTACCCAAAGAATTCCCCCTTCTGGGATGGTGTGATGTGTTTCATTGTGGTTTTGCTTCAATCTTTTTTGTGCCATTAATTAACTTTTTCATTTTTATTGAATTTTGTTATGGCTGCTATTGCACCACACGATCCTGTATCCTAAAACTTTCACCTTCCCAACCGTGAGCATGACACCTGGGAGAAAAGGTGCCCACAAACACAATGGAAGCTCCAAAGGCTGGCACTTTGGTTTGACCCACCAACACGATGCACAAGAATGCTATGAAAATATACTCCCTTTTGATTGGGAAGAAGTGTTCATCCTTTGGGGCCCTCGTTCCTAACCCAACCGTTCTTATGCTTTAGAGTTGACCAGTTAGAGTTGAGAAAGGATACAACTTGGAGAAGTCTCTTCCTCAGATATGACCTTTATTTGGAGGCCATTACCACCACCACCACATCCAAAAGCACTTTTCAGCCTGGCCTTGGCTTCTCATCAGAGAATGGCCAAATTGGGCCACTGAATTCTTTTACTTCGTTTGGAAAGAGCTCTAAGCTGGCTGCCAGTATCCCTGCGCTGCCTGGTCTACTGGCCCAGCGCCTTGTCTCCCCCACAATGGCACAGAACACACCACTGTGAGAACAACACAGGGGCAGAGCGGATCCAAAGGGGTGTCTCTAGCAAGAGGCACAAGGACAGTGTCCTTGTGCAGCATCTCTGCAGCTCCAAGCTTGTCTTCAGGGATTGTTTTTGAGCAAACCAATCACTCCATCCTACGTGCATGGACTCTAAATAACCAAGTACTGTGATACTCTGTGACAAGGGTGGGAGAGAGACAGGGCCAAGGCCAGATTCCTGAAAGCACTAGGATTAATTGTCTGCTTTCTACTCATACTGCCTTTCTCCTGAATAGCTTGCCTCAGTGTCTGTCTAAAAATGAATCTGTATTAGGCAGTAACACCAACTGGAGCAACTTAAATGAAAGACTTCTGTTAGAACAAGACAAGAGGCATGCTGTTGGACTAAGTTTCAAGCAGGGAAGTCAACTCCAGAAAAGTGATGATTCATCTGTGGATGAGAACAATAGAAGGGATGCATACCTTGGAACCTGAACAACTGACTGTATACTTTCCTCTTAGATCTCATTCTGTACCTCTGTTCCACCACATAAGAACACAATGTAAGAGTGCAAAACCATGCCCTGGAATCCCTGTTGCCACAGAGGGCCAGGAGGTCACTGCCCTATGAAGGAGTTCTGCCAAGGTCCTAAGGCTTGGCTTTCTCTTCCTTAGAAGGATACAGACATCTTTAGCTACCCCTTCCCTACATCACCAACCATTGGTCTCACAGGACTGAGACCAATGAGGCTGTCCTCACTAGTTTTTTATATACAAAAAATCTCTCTACAAAACACCCAGGAACAATCAAGCACAATCACGATCACATGGAGAAGTCTCTAATGCAGCACAGAAATGTTACGTTCCGATTACTGGTGCTGCATGGCTCTTCCTTTAAGGGATGTGTGTCCACATCCGACTGACCACCCTAGTCTGCACATGGAGCAAGAAGGAAATGCAGTGGGAACAGAGCCTTGTGAATCTTTTTCTGTCTCTGAAATGGGGACAGTAAAACACGATGGAAGTGCTGCTATCTTCCTACAGCTCCCGGGATAGCTGTGCCTCCCACCCAACCCTTTCTTTGCCTCCTCAGAACAGACACTCTCCTAGGAGAACATTAGCAGGATAAAGCAATAGGGTTAAAAACACAGGGGGTTTCTATCTAAGGAGGTTCACCACAAATTGGATGCTAACACATGAAATGGCAGCCAAAGAGATATTCTGAGCCTCTAGAAAGGATGTTACATCTCAAAGATAACAGAAGATCTATGCAACTTGTCTGCTCGATTCAGGGAAATCTTCAAAAGGAACCTCTGAAATCTGCATTACAGCCCTGAGAAGATAACCCTTCAAGCAAGGAAGGTTGGTGGAAGGTAGGAGAAGCCAAGGCCCTAAGGCAGGGCTGTAAACATTGTGCTTTTCTAAGGCCAACCTGGTACATGGCTTTGGCAACTATGGTTACATCTCCAAAAAGTGGTGAAGAATATGTTCCAGGAGGAAGAGTCTTTCCACATCCTAAAACAAAGCATGGAACTATCCCTGGGGGAAGAGGGAGAGAAGATGCTTCTTCTTCAGCCAGGGGCTGTGGGGTGGCTACCTGGGTAAACCCCCCATCATATTCTGTGTTCATACCTATACACTAGGCACAAGGAAGGGATACGTGAACAGGGTTGAGGAAGTGATTATGCCTACAACAGTTTGGTAACGTGGCTCTAAAAAGGGCAGAAACTCTCTTGCAAGAACAAGAGTGACAAAACCTCTCTGGACTTTCTGGTCAAGCCCTAGCTACCCAGACCCCTAAGCCTCAGGCAGAGACTGCTGTGCCTTGAGGAGAGGTCAGGTGAATCCAGGCACCAGGTCCCTGTGGGCCACAAGCCCTGAGCCTGACCCCGAGGTACAGCTGGGAGACCTCCGTCCCCTTGGAGCTGTGCCTCAGGACTTGGTCCTCACCTCAGCAGGTCTGGGGCAGTCAGTATCCCTTCCAGGGATCTTACTCCCAGCGCCACTAAGGGGAATGGACACCCTCCCTGATAGGACTCTGTTCCCTACCTGGGCTACTCACCACCATGTGATCTTGAACTCATAGATGGGGCGCTTGCAGTAGTAGTGGTTGATGAGGTGCTTGTCACACACCCCGATGCACTGATGGTCCACAGTGAGGCCCTGGGCTGAGAGGTCTGTGACCAGGCAGTGCAGTAGGTCATAAACATCAGCCACAGCCTCCCAGGGCCCAAAAGATACATCCACTTCGCAGTGGTGCTCAAAGAGCTGCCCATCACTCTCACTCCGCTCGAAGCGCAGGGAGTTGAGAAGCGGACACTCATAGGGGGTGATGGGCATCTCCTCCTTGAAGACACAGACCTTGAGCTTGGCAAAACGGGCCTTCCGCTGTACTGCACGCAGCCGGGCAATCTCCACAATCCGCTCCAAGTGGTCTAGGGGGGTGAACACAGCACCCATCACTGGGACAGGGGTCAGGATGTCGGGGGGCAGTGGGCAAGGCAGCGTCAGGGCACAAAGAGAGAGCCCCGGTGAAGGCATGATCCAACAGGGAAGAGGCAGATCCTGGGGAAGGGACTCTGGGCCCGTGAAAGGCACAAACTTAAACAGGGATCATGGGTCTCCAAGGCAAAAGAAACCAAAAGGATAGAATGAGGATCATCCTTTTGAAATGTGATCTGATGATGTCACAGGAAAAGTGGGCCCTATTGAACCTGAATCTTCCCAGTTTGACTGGGAGGGGAGAGCAGAAGGGGAAGCAGAAATCTCTCTGATCCTGAGTAATACAGATACATCTTAGACCCACCTCTTTGGTGACGACCTATGCACACACAGATGCCTTGCAACCCTCCTTTCCCACACCTCAACCACCCTGGGCAGTTGATACCTCACCTTTGTAATAAGGCATGAGTCCCAGAAACGCCTGGCGCACTTTCTCCCCCTTCAGAGGCTGCATGTTCTCTAGCTGCTCCAGGAGGGGCCCGATGGCATAGTACTGAGCCTCTTTGTACACAGCCCGTACACGCTCCCGGGGTGGCAGGTCCCCTGAGCGCAGGAAATTCAGCACATCTCTGAGCAGGAAGGAAAGAGGGTTGGTGAGAAGGAGCTAATGGATCTGGGCAGTGTCACATAGTGGTTAGAGCACAGAGTCTGGAACCAGACTACTAGCTGTGTGACCTTGGAGAGGTGAACTTAACCTCTCTGTGCCTTGATTTTCCCATCTGTAAAATGAGGGAAAATTTAAAAACTACCTTGTAATGGTATAAAGGGATTAAATGATTAAAAAGTGCTTAGAAAATACCTGGCACAAGGTAAGTCCTCAATAAGCATTAATAGCTGTTATTATCAGTATCATCATTATTACATTTATAATTATCATTAGGTATATTTATTTTATTAGGTATTGTTATTTTTGGGTATATATAGGAATAATGGAAACATACATATTCTAGGCTCCTTAAGACATATATATTTAAATTGAGGTCTAATTAATATGCAACAAATGTACAAATCTTTTTTTTTCAAATGTACAAACCTTAATTGTATAGTTTTATTATAACCACCACCTAGACCAAGATACAGAACATTTCAATCTCCTCAAAGTTTCCCTCTGCCTCTTCTCATTCAATCCCAGAATTCTATCAACAAAGATTAGTTTTGCCTCATCTTAAAACTCATGTAAGTGGCTGGATCTACTATAATTGATTTAACCCATTCTCCTGCTGATGGACAGTTGAGTTGTTTCCAGTTTAGGGCTCTTATGGGTAAAGCTGTGATGAACATTCCTGTATAAGACTTTCTGTGGACACACGCACCAACTTCTCTTGGCTAAATATTAGGAGAATTGTTCAGTCATAAGGTGAAGCGCATGCTTAACAAAATGGTTGTAGCATTTTATGTTTCCACTAGCAATGTAGTAGCCTTCCCCATTTTCTATATTTCTTTGCCATTCATCTTATTTTGTAGCTATATGGACAGCAAATGCTACCCTGAACACCTGGACAAATTGGTTTCTCGAATGAATAAAATCACATACTGCATTTTCTTAAAATAAAAATTCAGTTCTTTTAATTCCATCTTCAGATTCTTTGGTGCTAAGAGTAATCATAATCAGATCCATCGCCAGTTAAGTGTGGCAAGGTCTTTACTTCTGTAAAGATATGTGAGTAAACCCCAAGATCAAGATGTTGCCTCAATAGTTTGTCTATGACCATGATGTAACGGCAGTTACCACTCACTAAGTATTAGTCTGGGTCAGCTACTATTCATGTGTTACCCCATTTAATCCCTTCAATGACATTTAAGTGCCATCTTAGGTCCATTTTTAAATGAAGAAAAAGAGGGGCTCAGAGAGGTTAAAGAATACCCTTACTCAAGGAGCTACAGCTAGCAGAGGCCCAGATGCAGTCATGGTTGACTCCAAGTCCATACCCACAGTGGTCCAGACTCTAGTCCAAAGTGTTATTCACTGATCACAGTGGGAAACTGCCCCAGGTGGTGACCCAAGCAGCCTCCCTGGTGGGTGCTAGGGACACATGAGCTGCCCCAGCAGAGAAATGTACCTGATCAAATGCCCTGAGCCCCTATTTTATTTTCTCTGAGTCTTTAAGCAACTTCATCTGCTGATGATGAATCACAGACCATTGGAGTCTAGCAGCCTGAGGATAAATGCCACAATACCCTGCTTTCTGCCACACCCTGGCCCAGCTCTGACCCTCTCCAGCTATGGCCACCTGGGCATGGGCACATCAGCTTAGAGCCAAAGCCTGTTCTTCCTCCCCACAACCCCTTCCCAAATTAGTCCTCTAGGATCTTAAGCAAACCTTGGTCTGCTCTGAAAAACATGACCCCAGGGCAAGGCCCAGCTAAGAGTGCTGTGGGAGTTGCCAGTTGGGGCCAGCACTTTCCTCCCCCAAACAGCCTGCAAACAAAAATCTTTTTATAGCTCTGCAGAGCGATGTGACACTTTGTTTTCTCAGCATTGGAGGCAGCTGACAGCCCAATGGGGAAACCCAGATGCTTCAAAGCAAATTGCATGACCAGAGGCTCCTTTCTGAGGATAAAAATGACCTTTCTCCCAGTGCAGGCGATCCTACTTGGGAGGCCAGCACAGATACGTAGTGGTTGAAGACTTTCTGACTCCTTAGCCAATGTGTTGAAGGTCAAGAATCATGTTAGTTCTGTAGTCATCTCCAAAGTTAGACTGAAGGGGCAAAGAGCTTCAGCCACATGCTCTGGAAGGACCCGGTGAGGGGTCACACCAAGGCTCTTTACGTAATCGGCATGGCAGGCCTGTGAGGCAGCTGTAATTATTTCTCATTTCACAAGCAAGGAAACTAAAACATAAAGTCTTTAAATTGTTTACGTGTTAAGGTATCAGAAGTCTTTCCTTGGGAAGGGCTATTTTCTTTTTTGAGATTGTGTCTTTCTGTGTTTTAGCGTTAAAATGACAGTCACAACTGAAGGTGTTTGTTTGTTTTTTTCTAAAGGCTTTTCTTGGCAAAATTAAAAAATGGCAATCATATGTTGGCCCTTCCTTCACCTTTTTTGTTCATTTGTTTTAAACCATCAAAGAAAGTCTGAGAACCACGGTCATACACCATGTCCCTCCCTAATGGCAATGTGGAGCCCCAGAATCTGAATCTGAGGATATTCTCCAAGAAGTTGTTTTGGGGCTCCCCTGCCTATAGGTGGCATCACACCTATTCCATACAGATGACAACTTCCTGGTCTCCAATTTCATCACATCCAGCCAGTGTGTAGCACCTGGGCTCTCTCTGGCTGTCCTTGTCTCCTCTGGGAAAGATACTATGGCTTTTGATCCAATTCAATAAGCACATTTATTAAATTCCATCAGTACATTTGCTATTTTCTTTTCTGGGTATTAATGGAAGATACCAAAGCCCCATATTGAAGCCCAGGTCCTACTTACTAGAACTATAAGGTTGATCATAGAGGGAGAAACATACCCAAAGTGGGTGCCATCCCGGTCAATGAAGTACCGGCCCTCGGAGTCTGTGGGAATGTAATGTCGCCCGCTGAACATGGCCGCCAGCATGGTGTCTTCATAGCGCCGCAGGGTAGACAGGCGTGTGGTGAAGTGAGCCCCTCCAATGTTAAGGGGAACAACCTCAGGAAACTGGAAAGGAACCACCGGCACTTTCAGCCAGGCATTGGGGAATGAGAACAGAGGCTGCTCTGATTGTGGTCTTCTGGGGTCTTATTAGTGCTACACCATTCAGTCACCCAACGCTAAAATCCAGGAGTCTTTCTGAATGTTCTTCTCTCTCCTCTCTTTCCCCACACTCATCAGTTGCCAAGTCCTACCCACTCCTCCCCCCCCCCCCCCCCCCCCCCCCCCCCCAGCCATTAAATCAGGCTTCCCACCCCAATTCTGCTATCGCTGTTCTGGAGTTCAAAGCCGTCATTGTCCTCTTTTCCACTTCCTGAATTTGTCAGTTTTATGCCCTTGCTCATGCTGTCTTCTCTGTCCAGAATGTTCTTTCCACTCTCCCTTTGTCCATCTAGCAAATGCATTTGCCCCGTGTGTGGTGTATGTTGTTCACTGCACAAGGACACCGATCTGAGAGTGATCTGCTAGCCCAGCTGTGTGTCCTTTCTCTAACACACACCAAGGCACCATATAGGTTAGCAGCATCCGCGCATTCTAAAAGTTTCTCTTCAGGGCGCCTGGGTGGCTCAGTCGGTTAGGTAGCTTGATTTCAGCTCAGGTCATGATCCCAGGGTTGTGAGATGGAGTCCTACGCTGGGCTCCATGCTGAGTGTGGAGCCTGCTTAAGATTCTCTCTCCCTCTGCCCGTCCCCAAGTTGTGTGCACATGCGCACACTCTCTCTTTCTTAAAAAATAAAATAAAAGCTTCTCTTTAAGTTTCCCAATTCTGTAAGCATTTCTGTTCTATTGTTCCTCACATGCACCCAAGACAGAGTTAACTGAACATTCCCTCCATCGTGCCTTCACCATGGACCACACACCCTCCTCGCCTAGCACGGTACACCAGCAGTTATTTTCCTCTGTCAGCTCTCCCTTCTAGACCTCAAGCTTCCTGAGGGCAGGGACGGCATCTTGTTCACTAATCATGAGGCCACCCGCAGCAGGGCTCATAGGTGTTTGTGGAACAATTCCAGGCATCCACTCCTCATTCTTTGTACCTCACTGCTTCTTTCTTAATCTGTAGAGTGAGATCAGTCCCCCGTCCAGCTAAGGTTCCGGAGGCAAGAGCAGGGGGAAGAACAGAGAATGATGGTATAGATTTGCCAGGAGAAGTTCTAGGGTCTCCCTAAAATACTCAGGACCTTTTTTGGGGGAGGTGGAGGGTGGGAATATCTTTCACTGCTTGTGGTTTTAAAGAAATGAAGCCAGTTCTCTCTAATTTTCCCACAACCTCCAGATTGACTAAAATTTTGTCCGAGTGCATACTTTTCAATATTACATCTCTAAGGCTCCAGTGTATGTTTATCCAGATAGTCCTTTCCCCCAGCCTTCCAGTTTTTTTTCCTACATTTTTTTGGGTGTAGTTGACGCACAACGTTACATTAGTTTTGGGTGTATGACACCGTGATTTGTTAAGTCTTTACACGGTATGCTTACAAGTGCAGCTACCACCCGCCACCATTTATTACCGTTATGATTTCACTGACTGTATTCCTTATGTTGTACTTTTTATCCCCGTGACTTATTTATTCCATAACTAGAAGCAAATACCTCCCACTCCCTTCACCCATTTTGCCCATCCCTCCACCCTTCCTGCCCTCTGGCAACCACCAGCTTGTGCTCCGTATTTATGGGTCTATTTATGCTCTGTTTGTTTTTTTGTGTTTTTTAGATTTCACATATAAATAAAATAATATCAACTTTTTAAAAGTTCTTTGTGAACTAAAGTAGGATAAAAATACATTAAATCAAAGTTACCCAGAGCCTAGTGCAGTGCCTGGCATGCAGCAAAGACCCAAGTGTGCATTAAATGAATGAGTGAATGAATGCATGAAATAGAAAGGTTATGTACAGTTCTTCTGTGCGTATGCACTGTTACTCTTCTGCAACCAAAGGATAACAAATGCCTTCTACTTAGTCTATAGCTCCAATAAAACTATTCTAGGTGCATAGCAAGGACTCAAATATTTTGAGATAAGAATGCTTTACATTTCTGGAGCTCTTTACACCTCTTCCAAGGATATCTCATACCAATCCAAGTGTCTGCTCCACAGTAGAGCTGAAAAGACTGAGGCACAGAGACAAAAGCAACCAAAAACTGTTCTGGATCTCACATGGAACAATGTATCTGGGG